GGGGGGGGGTAGGGTCAGGGCGTTGGGTCCCCAGGCTGTGAGGGGTGCGGCCGCCCATTGTTGATGGGTGGGGCAGGCACCTGAGGCTGCCCCTTGGTGCCGGTGACCCAGCACAGCCCGGCCTTCCCTGGGTTTCTCGCTTGTCTTCCCGAAAGCAGGGGCTCCAGTCCTGTCTGCGGCAGGTGCCCGGGTGCCAGCCTGGCCCCGCGTGCCAGCCTGGCCCCGCAGCACCCTCCCTGTTCGCGGCTCTTTCCTGCTGTGAGGTGCCCCCCCAAGTCTGAGGCCAGTGGCAGGCGACCTTCCCGGGCCCACGGTCCCCGCCTGGCCTCCCTGTGTGACCAGCGTGGGAAGCTGGGCCTGCTGTCTCCTCTGGGAGAGGCCAGACAGAGCAGTGGCTGGAGGCTGAGTCCAAGCCAGGCTGGTGACAGGGAGACATGGGCCACACAAAGCCCCGGGGAGGGGCAGGGCGGGCTGGGTGGTAGACTCCAGGGCCTCACCCTCGGGCAGCAGGGCTGTGGCCCTCCCGAGCCACCCCATGCAGGCAGCCTGGCCCTGCAGAGACTCGGGGTGGGGGTCAGTGGTGGGGCCCGGCTGGTCTCTGCCCTGAAGGAAACTGGGGAGGATGAGAAGGACCGAGTTGGGGGCACCCGCCAGGACCTAGTCTCACAGTGCTGAGTGCGGGTGCCACGAAAGCTCACCCTCCCTCACGTGGGGTGGGCGGGGTGGCTCCAGGCACGGCCTGTCCCCCCAACCCCTACTGCCTCTGCAGCAGGCAGCATGGACACTGAGCGCCACTGCGTGGACAAGGCTGACCAAGGCCCTGACTTGGGGCTGCAGGAGGGAGGCCAGGGTCGGGGGGGGGGGGGCAGGCCAGCGCTGAGGGGCCCAAGCAGGCAGAGAGGAGGGGGCCTGGGGTGCCATGTGGTGAATGGGTTCCAGGCCACCATTCCCGACTACCCTGCCCAACGCCAGCTGCCTCAGGACTCAGAGAAGCTCTGGGTCAGTGGGAGCCCCAGGCCACCAAAGACAGCATGGGGCTTCTGGAGGACAAGGCCTTGGGTGCTGGTCCTCGCGTGTGACACAGATGCGGGGGATGGGGGCTCGGCTCTTCCCTGGTGAGGGTCCCTGGCTCCCAGCAGCTTTCTCAGGGTGTCTGATCCCGGAAAGGCCAGAGCCACCAGTGGGACGGCATGAGTGCAGCCCTGCTGCCCAGCCGGGAGGGACTGACTGGGGCTGGGTTCCTGGATGTGGTCCAGCTCGTGGAGGCGCTGGGTCGGCGGCCCCACAGGGAAAGGCTGGGCTTCTGGGCCCCCTCCCCTCCGTGGAAGCTGGGCGGGACCTTTCCCAGGCCGCTATTTTGGTCCTCCCTGTGGCTGGCGGGGGTGGGGTCCTGCCTGTTATTTTTGTGCCTATGGAGCTGGCACACGGGAAGTACTTACAGTGTACGTGCGTGCGGCCACGAGGCATGTCCCCAGGTGGGCTGTGGGCCAGTTCCAGGGCCCATTACTCAGTGCTACGACCCCCCAGTGAGGGGCACATCTGCCCCAGTGCGGGTGGCTGGTCTCCCGGGAGCCTCTTGCTCTGTTGCTTGTTTGAGGCGTGGGGAAGGATCCTGGAGGTAGCTCTGTCCACTCTTCACACTGACTACCCCCGCTTCTCTAGCTGCTTGCCCACACATAGGGCCCAGGGGGGCCAGGCAGAGACCCTCTGCACATTGGAGGTACAGTCGCTGAGAAGGGGCCCCCTCAGCCCTCAGGCCTCCTGTCGACAGCCCCCGGCCCCTCGGCTGCCGGGCCCTGTGACCCTGGGTGGGATGGGGGGCAGCAGCCCCGGGAGCAGGTAGGGGAGGAGCAGGTGCCCCGGCGGGTACTGGGCGTGGCAGGTGACCCTGCTCTCATCCCTGCTTCCCACACACTCGTCCGCAGGCCCTGGCCAGTGCCCACTGGGCCCGCTCTGTGTTGGTGGCTGCATAACACCGTCCTGGCCACGCCCCATCCTGGGGGGACATGGTGTGGGCGGGGTGTCTCCTCCCACCTGCCCCTCCTCAGGGGAGGCCTAGCTCAGCAGAGGGGGGCTTGTCTAACAGGTTGAGGCCTCTCGGGGCCCTCTTGACTGTCCATGCAGGAGGGTGGGCCACTGGCCCCCATCACGACGCTCGAGCAGCCGCATCCTTTGTCTTTGCCAGGCCATCCTGCTGAGCACAAAGCTCAAGCTGCAGCCAGAACTTGACCTTGAAAAGGTAAGTTTTCTCTCATGGAAATGTTTAGATTTGAACTCGGACAAAACCCAGGTTTCTAGAGCACACTACATGGAGAGGGGAGGTCTCTGGATGTCGTGGGTTGTGGGTGCTGGGAGCAGGGCATGCTGGGTTTCGAGGGCAAGGCCAGGGGATGCGGTGGGGCTGCCTGGTCCACTGGGGAAGCCGCGAGTGTTCTCCTGGGAAGCTGCCCGTCAAGTACACACCAGCCCTGAGTTGCGCTTCCCTCCACAGTCCACCTTGGTGTCCCTGTACCTTCCCCTGATGCCGCAGAGTGGCAGGGGGGCCGCTAGGTACAGAGGGCCGTGGTCCAGGTGAGACGCCCCCACTGGAGGCGGATGAGTCATCTCAGGGAACACAAGTGTGTATGTGTGCCCATGCATGCATGTGGATGTGTGTGCACACACGTGTGCCGGGCATGGGGTCAGAGCATAGGGCACAGTGAGTTGATGGGAGGCTCGCACAGAGGTGCGCAGACACACTCTGACCTTGCCCCGTGGAGGACAGACTGCCTGGAATGGCCTCCAGTCTGTTCTCTTCTGGTGCTCTGGTTGCTCCCTCCTCGGGTTAGCAGCGGGTCTGGGGTCTAGACCCCCATGGCAAAGGCTGCAAGACCAAGATGCCAGTGGCCTGTGGGACAGCAGCCTGAGTGTGTGCTCCCCTCCAGATGAGCACCCCGCTGCTCCTCCAGAACAAGATGAACCTGGTGGAGCGCTACGTGGATGGCTTCCCAGACCTGCAGAGGAGGCTGCTGGTCCTCATGGATTCCTGGTGCCAGCCTGGCTTCGACATCAGAGATGTTGCCAGGTGAGCCCCACAGGGAGCCCAGGAAGGGACAGGGGATATCAGGGGTTGCAATCACATGGGACAGTGTCTTAGTCAGCTAGTGCTGCTATAATAGAAATATCACAAGTGGATGACTTCAGCAAAGAGAAATTTATTTCCTCACAGTAAAGTAGGCTAAAAGTCCAAATTCAGGGCATCAGCTCCAGGGGAAGGCTCTCTGTCTGTGTTGGCTCTGGAGGAAGTTCCTTCTCATCAATCTTCCCCTGGATTAGGAGCTTCTCTGCGCAGGAACCCCAGGTCCAGAGGATGCGCTCTGCTCCCATCACTGCTGTCTTGGTGATATAAGGGTCCTGTCTCTCCGCTTGCTTCTTTTATATCTTTTTTATATCCCAAAAGAAACCAGCTCAAGACACAATCCAATCCTGTAGATTGAGTCCTGCCTCATCAGCACAACTACCTGTCCATCTCCCCCTCATTTCATCAACACAACTACCGCCCATCCCCCCTCATTAACATCATAGAGGCAGGGTTTACAACACACAGGAAAATCACATCAGATGACAAAATGGTGGACAATCACACAATCCCGGCAATCATGGCCCAGCCAAATTGATACACACAGTTTTGGGGGGACACAATTCAATCCATGACAGACAGGCTCACACATGGTCCAGCATCCTCACCTCAAGAGGTTCCTAGGGTTTGAACAGGGCTGCTGTGAGACAGGAGCCAGGTTAGGTTTAGGATGGAAAGAAGGACCCCCATTTGGAGCAGGGAGGAGCCAGGTTAGGTTTAGGATGGAAAGAGGGACCCCAGTTTGGAGCAGGGAGGCTGGGGAAGGCCAGAGCACAGCTGTCTCCTGGGAGGAGAAGAGGCAATTTCTACACAGAAGAGCAAAAATAACTCCCTTGCCGGAAGTCACACTATGTATACGTTCATTTATTCATTCGTTAATTGTTCGTGCATTCATCCATTCATCTATAAACTTCTACAAACCTACTGTGTGAACTGTGTCCCAGCAAGTACAGGGAAAGGCTGCGTGCTAACAGGTAGCCAGTATAGACTCAGAAAGGCCGTGTGTGTGTGTGTGTGTGTGTGTACATGTGTGTAAGTGTGTGCACAAGTGTGTGTATGTGTATGCATGCATGTGTATATGACTGTGCATGTTTTCATGTGAATGCATGCACGTGCATGTGTGTGTGCATGCGTGTACATGTGACTGCATGAATATGCATGTGTATAAGTGTATGCATGCAGATATGCGTGTGCGAATGTACATGTGTGCATGGGCACATGTGTGCGTGTGTAAATGTGTGTACATGAGTGTGTGTACATGTGTGAGGGGAGAGATATGAACGTGTCTCCTGAGTGTGGATGCAGGCACAGCACCTGGGAGGAGAAGAGCTTCCCACCACGCACCTGGTCAGTGTGACTGAGGTGAGGTGGCACTCGGATGTCTGTGAAGGCCCCTGAGTTGCCTCTTCATCAGCAGTCATGGCCATATACCTGCCTTGGAGCCATCTTATTCCCTGGGCTCACCCTACTCTGCACTTCCTCTCCTAGAACTATGGGCAATCATTCTCAGTGTCTGAGTATGCGTCCTCATCTCTACAATGGGGCTGATTCTCCCTGCCTCACAGAGGTCTTGTGACTTTACAGGATCTGAGGCAGGCGCCAGGTCCGGCACGTAGTGAGCGTACAGTTGTGTTAGTTGTTGTTACTTTTATTATGTGTTAAAAAATAGAGCGCAAACAAGTGGGTTTATTAATGGGGTTAGGGACCGCGGTTCCCACTGTGAAGAGGAGAAATATATGTATGGAAAGTGGGAGGGTGAGGAAGACCCTGCGATGTCAGATTTACTTGGAGATATTCATTTAAATTAATGATTTTTTAAAAAACTTCTAGCTCTATGTGCTAAAAAAGCCTAGAAATAATGACACCCCATAGCCATAAGCGTGCCCAACACCTAGATCTTGGTTTCTAAATACCATTCTCCACTAAAAGGAATGAAGGCTCTTTGGAGAAATGACCAAGAATCAGGAGGAATGATGGTAGTGCAGCAGAATACTTGAATTTAAAAAAATCCATGAGTTGGTAGTGATGCTCATGGGAGATGAGGAGGGAAAGTTCTTCTTTACAGTGTATACCAGCTAGTAAATAAATAAGGTATGATAGAATTAAAAGATAAGGTTTTACAATCCCCAATACAGTAATTGATTCAGGCCCAGGTCATCAAGGGATGTTAAGAAAGGAAGAGATAAAATAAAAATCATTTCATTATCACAAATGAAAAAGGGGGCATCACTACAGATCCTACTGACCTTAAGATGGTAATAAGAGGATGTCATCTACAAGTTGATGCAAATATATTTGACAATTTAAATGAAATAGTCCAAATCCTTGAAAAACACGATTTACCAAAACTGTTACTAGAAAAAAATAGAAGATTTAAGTAGTCCTATTAAATAAATTGAACTCATAGTTTAAATTTTTACCACAAAGAGACTTTAGGCCCAGGTTGCTTCACTGGTGAATTCTTTCAAACATTTAAGGAAGAAATTATACCAATCTTACACAAACTCTTCCAGAAAATATAAAAAGAAGGAACACATCCCAACTTGTTTTATTTGGCCAGCTTTAGCCTTGATAACCAAAACTTGAAAAAGACTTTAGGATAAAGGAAAGTTCAATTCCAATATGTCTCATGAACATAAATGCAGAAATACTAGGCAAAATATTAACAAACAAATCAATTAATATATTAAAAGGTTAATACACCATGATCAAGTAAAATTTATTTCAGAAATACAATGTTGATTTAATATTCAAAGATCAATCATTTTAATCTACCATATTGACAGAAAATAATAACAAAAGCTATATAATCATCCCAGTAGATGTAGAAAAAAACACTTCATAAAATTCATTTATTTATGATTAAAGCTTTCAGTAATCTACAAATAGAAGGGAACTTCCTTAATCTGATAAAGGCTATTACTCTGTGGCAGGGCTGGAAACAGGATCTTGGGGAGGGCTTTATGAGGTGAAGTCAGACCCCAGTCCCTTCCCTGACCCTCTGGGGACCCTGGACCAGGCTGTGGGTGGGGCTGAGAATGTCATCACTAAACTGAGAACTTTGGAATGATTATTTTGGGAGGATGAGGGTGGAGCGCATTGCATGGTAAGATGTCAGTACGAAATATCTAAAACAGAATAATCGAGATCACAAGAAGTCAAATGACATATTGCATTGAACAAATCTGCTGCAAAAGACCTCTTTACAGTGTTAAAAAGCAAAGATGTCCCTTTGAAGAATAAGCTGTGCCTGGCCCAAGCCATGGTATTTTCTTTATATGTGTATATATATATTTAATTTTATAGTGCATTAGGTGAAAGTTTACAGCCCAAATTAGTTTCTCATTCAAAAGTTTATACACAGATTATTTTGTGACATTGGTTGCAATCCCTGCAATGTGTCAGCACTCTCTCCCTTTCTCTTTACACCCCAGGTTCCCCAGTTCCGTTCGTCCAGTTTTCCTGTCCCTTCCTGCCTTCTCGTCTTTGCTTTTGGGCTGCTGCTGCCCATTTGGTCTTGTATATTAGATTGAGCTAAGAAGTATGTTCCTCACTTGTGCTATTGTTTATTTTATAGGCCTGTCTAATCTTTGGCTGAAAAGTGGACCTCGGGAGTGGCTTCAGTTCCTGAGTTAGCAGTGTATCCGAGGGCCATAGTCTCGGGGGTTCCTCCAGTCTCTGTCAGACCAATAAGTCTGATCTTTTTTTTTGTGAATTTGAATTTTGTTCTACATATCTCTCCCACTCTGTCCGGGACCCTGTATTGTGATCCCTGTCAGAGCTGTCAATGGTGGTATCCGGACACCATCTAGATCTTCTGGGTTCAGGCAAGCCATGGTATTTTCAATCGCCTCATATGCAGGGAAAATTGGAAGTCGTCAAAAATGAAATGGAACACATAAACGTCAATATCCTAGGCATAAGTGAGCTGAAATGCACTGGTATTAGCCACTTTGAATCAATCATGTGTCTACTATGCTGGAATGACAAATTGAAGAGGAATGGCATCGTGTTCATCGTCAAAGAGAGCATTTCAAGACCTATCCTGAAGTACAATGCTGTCAAGTGATAGGATAGTATACATACACCTACAAGAAAGTCCAGTTAATATAACTATTATTCAGATTTATGCACCAACCACTAAGGCCAAAGATGAAGAAACTGAAGATTTTTACTAACTTCTGCAGTCTGAAATTGATCAAATGTGCACACAAGATGCACTGATAATTACTGGCGATAGGGATGCAAAAGTTGGAAACGAAGAAGGATTGGTAGTTGGGAAATATGGTCTTGGTGATAGAAATTATGTTGGAGATTGAATGATAGAATTTTGCAAGACCAACAACTTCTTCATTGCAAATACCTTTTTTCAACAACATAAATGGAGACTACACATATGGACCTCGCCAGATGGAATACACAGGAATCAAAGCCACTACGTCTGTGGAGACAGATGATGAAAAGGCTCAATATCATCAGTCAGAACAAGGCCAGGGGCCGACTGTGGAACAGACCATCAGTTGCTCCTATGCAAGTTCAGGTTGAAACTGAAGAAAATTAGAACAAGTCCACAAGAGCCAAAGTACGAACTTGAGTATATCCCACCTGAATTTAGAGATCATCTCAAGAATAGATTTGACGCTTTGAACACTAATGACCAAAGACCACATGAGTTGTGGAATGACATCAAGGACTTCATACATGAAGAAAGCAAGAGGTCATTAAAAAGACAGGAAGGAAACAAAAGACCAAAATGGATGTCAGAAGAGACTCTGAAACTTGCTCTTGTACATCGAGTAGCTAAAGTGAACAGAAGCAATGATGATGTAAAAGAGCTGTACAGAAAATTTCGAAGGGCAGTTCGAGAAGACAAAGTAAAGTATTATAATGATATGTGCAAAGACCTGGAGATAGAAAACCAAAAGGGAAGAACACACTCGGCATTTCTAAAGCTGAAAGAACTGAAGAAGTAATTCAAGCCTGGAATTGCAATATTGAAGGATTCTACAGAAAAAATATTAAACAATGCAGGAAGCATCCAAAAAAGATGGAAGGAATTCACAGAGTCTGTAACAAAAAGAATTGGTCGACGTTCAACCATTTCAGGAGGTAGTATATGATCAAGAAGCAATGGCACTGAAGGAAGAAGTCCAATCTGGACTGAAGCCATTGGTGAAAAACAGGGCTCCAGGAATTGATGGAATATCAACTGAGATGTTTCAACAAACGGATGCAGCACTGGAAGTGCTCGCTCATCTATGCCAAGAAATTTGGAAGACAGCTACCTGGCCAACTGACTGGAAGAGATCCATATTTGTGCCCATTCCAAAGAAAGGTGATCCAGCAGAATGCAGAAATTATCAAACAGTGTCATTAATATCACACACAAGTAAAATTTTGCTGAAGATCATTCAAAAGTGGTTGCAGCAGTACATCGATAGGGAACTGCCAGAAATTCAAGCCAGATTCTGAAGAGGACGGGGAAGGAGGGGTATCATTGCTGATGTCAGATGGATCCTGGCTGAAAGCAGAGAACGCCAGAAAGATGTTAACCTGTTTGTTATTGACTATGCAAAGGCATTCTATTGTGTGGATCATAACAAATTGTGTGGATCAGAACAAGAGGATACTGTGTGGTTTAAAGTCTAGAAAGGTGTGCGTTGGGGTTGTATCCTTTCACCATGCTTATTCAATCTGTATACTGAGCAAATAATCCGAGAAGCTGGACTGTATGAAGAAGAACACGGCATCAGGATTGGAGGAAGACTCATTAACGACCTGCAATATGCAGATGACGGGACCTTGCTTGCTGAAGGTGAAGAGGACTTGAAGCACTTACTGAGGAAGATCAAAGACCACAGCCTTCAGTATGGATTACACCTCAACGTAAAGAAAACAAAAATCCTCACAACTGGACGACTAAGGAACATCATGATAAAAGGAGAAAATATTGAAGTTGTCAAGGATTTCATTTTACGTGGATCCACAATCAACACCCATGGAAGCAGCAGTCAGGAAATCAAACGATGCATTGTATTGGGCAAATTTGCTGCAGAAGATCTCTTTAAAGTGCTAAAAAGCAAAGATCTCACGTTAAGGACTAAAGTGTGCCTGACCCAAGCCATGGTGTTTTCAGTCGCCTAATATGCATTTGAAAGCTGGACAATGAGTTAGGAAGACCAAAGAAGAATTGATGCCTTTGAATTGTGGTGTTGGTGAAAAATATTGACTATACTGTGGACTGCCAGAAGAACGAACAAATCTGCCCTGGAAGAAGTAGAGCCAGAATGCTCTTTAGACGGGAGGATGGGGAGACCTCGTCTTATGTACTTTGGACATGTTATCAGGAGGAACTAGTGCCTGGAGGACATCATACTTGTTAAAGTAGAGGGTCAGCAAAAAAGAGGAAGACCCTCAACAAGGTGGATTGACACAGTGGCTGTAACAGTGGGCTCAAACATAGAAACAATTGTGAGGATGGCGCAGCACCGGGCAGTGTTCCGTTCTGTTGTACGTAGGGTTGCTATGAGTTGGAACTGACTGGATGGCATGTAACAACGATAGTATGACTATTACGAGAAAGATGGAAAACTACAAGTGTTGGTGATGATATGAAGAAATTGGAACTCTCATTCATTGTTGGAGGGATTGTAAAATGGTGCAGCTTTTGTGGAAAACAGTTTGGTGGCCCCTCAAAAAGTGAAACAGAATGAGCAGATGACCCAGCCGTTCCTCTCCTAGGTATATACCCAAAATGGTTTAAAGCAGGAATACAAACAGATCCTTGTACACCCATGTTTATTGCAGCATTATTCACAATAGCCAAGAGGTGGAAACAACCTAAGTGTCCATCAACAGATGATGGATAAAAAATGTGGTCTAGCCATGCAATGGAGTATTACTCAGCCATAAGGAGGAATGGAGTCCCCGATACATGCTATATGACATGGGTGAATCTTGAAACATTATGCTGACTGAAGTAAGTCAGACACAAAAGGCAAATGTTGTATGGTCCCACTGATATGAAATATCTAGAAGAGGCCATTCTGTAGATCTGAAAGTTTATTTGTGGTGATCAGGGGCAAGCAGGAGGGAGGTGGCCAGGACTTAGTGCTTAGGGGGCATTGAGCTGTTCTCGTTGATGAAACAATCTGGAAAGAGATGGTGGTGGTGGTCACACAACAAGGCGAATGTAATCAACGTCACCGAACTGTACCTGTACAAATGGCTGAAATGGGAAATGTTTTGTCGTATGTATTTTACCACACTAAAATAACACATTAACAGAGAAAGAGACCGTGACAGACAGCCGCGCTCTCTCCCGTAGGAGGTTCCCGATGCTGACGGCCACCAGGCTGGAGAAGCTGAGCCCAAAACCGCTGAGCAGACAGGTGCTGCGGCTGCTGGGACGATGTGGCATGGACCCCGGTGAGCCAGCACCCCGCCCCGCCCCGCCCCTCACCAGGCTGGGGCAGCGGGTGCCAGGTGGGGTCTGTGCACCTTGGCGGGCAGGGACCTGATCGGCCAAGCCCTTCACACCCCTCCCTGCCAGCTCCAACCAGGGAGACATCGTCTGGGCCCCCGGGGGTTCCTGCTTCAGCTGCTCTCGGCCCTGGGCTCCCCATCACTCGCCGAATGCTGGGGACTGGGAGCCCCTCTGCCCTCCCAGGGCTGCTCCCGGAGGCTGGGCATCAACGTCGGTACCAACCTTCGTCTCTGTCCTCTCCTGTCCTCCTGTCCTGCCTCCTGGCTCCTCCGCACCTTGGCCTGGCATCCTGGGGTCTTGACCTGATGGGGTTGGCAGGGCCCTGCTGGTCTGCCTGTATTACAGACTGGCGTGAGCTCTGACAGCCACCCAGACACCTTGTCGCTTGCCTGTCTTTGTGCCACCTGGGGTCTCTTCTGATGGTCAGAGGTCTGAGTTTCCAGACTTGCTCATGTGTGCGTCTCCTCCTTCGCAGCAGGTGCATTCTGGGTCTAGTTGAAGGAATCTCCCTGCTCCAAGGTCACGAGGACACAGTTTTGTGTGGTCCTCCAACAGCTTTATCATCAGGGTCTCCCCTGGGGCCCCAGGTGCCTGCTGTTGACTGGTGTAGATACCCAATTCCATTTCCCACCCGTGTTCCCAGCCGGCCCGGCATGTGGCCCCCAGTCGCCCCACCCCCACCACTGTCCTGCGTCCCCTTTTCCCCAGTGCTGAGATCCATTTCTGGCCTCTCCAGTGGGCCCATCAGCCAGCCTGTTCCTGCTGCCACAGTCCCTGCCACCCCCGCCGCCGTGATTCCACTGCCAGGTTCCCACCACCCAGTGATGAGTTCCAGGATCATAGAGTGCGAGTTCCTTCACCTCCTTTTATTCTGGGAAGGCTGTCTTGGCTGTTCTTGGCCTGTTGTATATCCTCTAAATTTTGGAACCAGTTGGTCAAGTTTTACAGGAAGAAAACCTACTGGATTTGTTTGGGATTGCCTTGAATGGATAGGCCAGTTTGAGGAACACTGGCGTCTTAATGGGATTGCCCTGAATGGATAGGCCAGTTTGAGGAGCACTGGCGTCTTTATGATATTGATGCCTTACATCTCCCTTTGTTTCTGTGTTGTTGGTGTTAGGTGTCATCAAGTCAGTTCCGACTCAAAACGACCCCGTGCACCACAGAACGAAACCCTGCCCGGTCCTGCGCCATGCTCACAATTGTTACACTTGAGCCCATTGTTGCAGCCACTGTGTCAGTCCATCTCGTTGAGGCTCTTCCTTTTTTTCCCTGACCCTGCACTTTACCAAGCATGATGTCCTTCTCCAGGGACTGATCCCTCCTGACAATATGTCCAAAGTATGTAAGATATAGTCTCGCCATCCTTGCTTCTAAGGAGCATTCTGGCTGTACTTCTTCCAAGACAGATTTGTTCATTCTTTTGGCAGTTCACGGTATATTCGGTATTCTTCACCAACGCCACAATTCAAAGGCATTAGTTCTTCTTCGGTCTTATTTATTCATTGTCCAGCTTTTGCATGCATATGATGCAATTGAAAATACCATGGCTTGGGTCAGGCACACCTTAGTCTTTAAGGTGACATCTTTGCTTTTCCACACTTTAAAGAGGTCTTTTGCAGCAGATTTGCCCAATGTGATAGGTCGTTTGATTTCTTGACTGCTGCTTCCATGGGTGTTGATTGTGGATCCAAGCAAAATGAAATCCTTGACAACTTTAATATCTCTCAATAAAGTTGTATATTTTCTTCTACAGAGGACTTAGACATCTTCTGCTAGATTTTTGTTTAAATTTTACATTTTATATTATTTGAAAATGCTATTTATATTTAAGTTCTACTCTCTAACTTGCTGCTACGTAGAAATCCAGCTGATTTCTGTATACTGATTTTGATTCCAGGTTCTTTGCCAAGCTCTCTCATCAGCAGTGATAATTTCTCTAAAGATTCCTGTAAATTTCCTGTGTACACAAGCAAAGCACCCTCAAATCCCAACAGCTTCATTTCTGACTTTCTGTTCCTTTTGCTTATGATTTCTTCTTCTTTCTGTACTACATTGTCCAGGACCTGGAGGCCAGCGTAGGAATGGAAATGGTGATCATGGGCATGCTTATCCCCTCTGCCTCATCTCAAAGGGAACGCTGCACTGACAGTGTTTGGTAGCTTCACTTTATTCCTAGTTGCCGTTGAGTCAGCTCTGACTTACGGCCACCCCGTGCACAGCAGAGCCAGAAGCTGCCCAGCCCTGCCCCACCTTTACCATCAGTGCTGTGCTCGCGTCTGTTGTTGCAGCCACTGTGTGTTTGCAGTGCCTTCCAGCCTAGGTGGCTCATCTTCCAAGACTAGACTGAGCAATGTTCTGCTACTGTCCATAGGGTTTTCACTGTCCAGTTTTCTAAAGTCGATCGCCAGGCCTTTCTTCCTGGTCTCTCTTAGTCTGGAAGCTCTGCTGAAACCTGTCCACCGTGGGTGACCCTGCTGGTGTTTGAAATACTGGTGGCATAACTTCCAGCAACATACAGGTCACCACAGTGTGACACACTGACAGACAAGTGCTGGACTTCATGACTTTATTAGATGATGAAAATTAGATTCGATTCCTGTCGTTTGAGAGTGTTTGTCAGGAATGGATGTTAAATTTTATCAAGTCCTCTTTCTGCGTCTGTGGAGAGAATGGTGTGCGTTTTCCCCTCTGTCTGCCCATCTGGTGGGTGACAGTAGTGGCCGATTCTGTGATGACCCCGTCCTGGTCGTTGTGCGTTGTCCTACTTATATATGTTTCCAGATTTGGTTTGCCAACTTTTTTTTTGCATCTGTGTTCACAACTGAACTTGGACTCAGACTTCCCTGAAATGTGTGTGTCTGTTGTGCCCAGGTCAAGCTGAACGGGAAGCTCCCCCCTTTTCTCTCCTCTGCGAGCGTTTGCCTCACGCTGCGGTTATTTCTTCCTTGAAAGTTTGGTAGAAGTTGCGTGCGAGCCTCGAGTTTTCCTTGTGAAAATATTTGACCACTGATTCCATCTCGGTCAATTGTTTTCCTAGGACTTTACCTATTTCATTTACATTTTCAAGCTTATTGTCACGGGCTGTTCACAGTGTCCTGTTGTCTTTCAAACCTCTGTGGCATTCTTGATATCGGTTATTTGGCTCTCACCCCCGCCCCCATCAATCTCACGAGAAGTTTGTCCATTTGATCGGTTGTTTCAAAGAACGGGCTTTTGCCCTTGTTGGTCCTCTCCGTTGTGTGCCTCCCACGCCCTGTGTTCATGATTTCATTCCTTCCACTTTGCGTTTATTTTTCTCATTTTCCCCTAGCTTCTTGAGACTTGGGCTTCACTCATTCATTCTGAACCCTCTTTCTTTTTAAATATTTAAACAAGTTCCCGTATATATTATTTTCTATTATTGTTCTGTTCAAGGTATTTTCTAATTTCTATGATGATTTTTTCTCTTTTACACATTCGCTAATTAGAAACATGTTTCTTAATTTCCAGACTCTGTGAAATGTCTCATTTTCAGCTCGTGTTCAGGTCCTGGAGCACGTGCTCAGGTGGGTGGGCCCGGCCGTTGGTGTCCTTCCCCTTGGAGAGTTGCTTCCCAGACAGTGAGAGGAACGTTTGATCGGGTAGCAGTCTGTGCAGCTACGGTCCAAAGGCCTCTGTCTCCGAGAAGCCGTGTGCAGAGGCCGGGACGCAGTCTGCCCTGCTGGCAAAACTGCATGCGTGTGGGAGAGGTTGGGTGGGTGTGCGTCTGCTGGGCCGAGAGAGAGCAGCTTCGCAAAACACATCGACTGCCTTGTTCTGCCTGCGCCCTGGGCCCTGGGCCCTTGGTCACCCATTCCTTCCTCAGAAAATGTGTATCGGCTTTGTTCCCACACTGCCCACAGTGGTCCCAGAGCGGGCTAAAGGCCGGGTGTCTGGAGCCGGCGCCCGGCTTCCATGCAGGTGGCCCCAGGAGGAAGGCAGGCACCTCGTCCCCATCTGGGGGACCTAGGGAGCTGCTGCAGCTCACGCCCTCATGACCAAGAACTCCTGATTGGGGCGCATTGCTGGCTGACCCGCACCGGCCCCGGGTGCCCACATGGATGGGGCTGGAAGTGGAGATGCTGACCAGGGCACCCCGCCAGGCATGCAGGGGTCATGCTGACCCTACTGGTGAGGGAAGGGCGGCCAGGCCCCTGCTGGAGGAGCCTCGGGGCTGAAGGTCTCGGCCGCTCAGTGGGCAGGCTGGTTCAGTGTGGTCAGCATCCGACTGAGGCTTGGCCAGCCGGCAGGGGCCACGGGGGTCAGAGCAACGCGGGCGGCAGGGCTGCTTGCCCCGGCCGTTAAATGAACTATGGAAACGAGGTCGTGGGAAGGAGCGTCGGCTTGTGGCCGCTGTGACACGCTGGGCCGGCAAGGTCGGGTCCCTGCTCTAGGAACCACATTCCAGTGGCGAGAGCCAGGAAGCAGACTCCAAGCCAGCACAGCACAATGGCAGGAAGCGCCATGCCCGGAGAAAAGGCGGGAAGGCTGGGAGGGCAGGGCTGCTGGAGAGGGGAGACTGGGGCTCCCAGGAGGACCAGCCTGGGACACCCGGGTGGGGGGTTTTCAGCTGAGCAGGCAGCTCTGTGAGACCCCAGGGAGGTGGCCCCCCCGGGAGGCAAGACCCCAAGACAGCCAAGACCCCTAGGGAGGCTATCCCCCCAGGGAGGCGAGACCCCAAGACAGCCCAGACCCCCAGGGAGGCGATCCCCCAGGGAGACAAGACCCCAAGACAGCCAAGATCCCCAGGGAGGGGACCCCCTTCCAGGGAGGTGGCAATCTCCTGAGGGAGGCGAGACCCGCAGAGAGGTAACCCTCCCAGGGAAGCATGCTTGTGGGCCTATGGGTTTGGGGTGCAGTGTGCAAGGGTAGGCTGGGGCAGAGGCTCCTTCAGAGGGCAGGAAGAGGGCTCTGGGGGCCTTGCACAGGGGAGGGCATGATCTGCTCTCCGGCTATTGGCTGAGAGGCCCCCGACCCCTTCCTCTCTCCCCACTCCACCACCACCCCACTCCTCGGAAGCCAGAGAGGCTGGGTGGCGGAGCACCCCACTCGACTTCTCGAGGTCCCTGGCGCTGAGTCCTGCCCTCTCTTTCAGCCCTGTGCTCCAACGTCATCAACCAGCAACACCTAGGGACCCTGCAGTACCTGTGCTACAAACGGTTTGTGGAGGTGTGTGTGCAGGGCTGGATCTGGGCCCCGCGATACCTGTGTTAGGAGCAGTGTGTGCAGATGAATGTGTGTGTACAGGTGTGTGTGCAGGGC